AACCAAGAATAACATACCAATGCTTAGCAATTTATACAATAATAGCATATCAATGCTTATCACCATTTCAAGTACACAAGGATATCATTCCAATGCTTATTGTCATTCCAAACACACAAAGATAGCATTCCAATGCTTATTGTCATTCTAAGCACATAAAGATAGGTTTCCAATGCTTATTGTCATTCCAAGCACACAAAGATAGCATTCCAATGCTTATTATCATTATCTTGTAACGCAAAACATGCAATAGACACAAGCATTCTATTCATGTTCACCAATTTCACCTATCACACATGTATCACATGCAATTTATCAAAATCACATATTTTTACACTGACAACCTTCACATAAAACAACTCATAGGGAGTTCTACTGCTCCAACAACTCTCATCCTTATCTCATATGAAAGATAAGAATATTTACGACAACTCTCATGAAGACACCAAATCATAATTCCATCATCTACATTGTTAAAAAAATTAAAAACTGCAATAGCTACGACCAATGTTGACAGCTTAATACTTGTTTACTAAAATAGCCATATTTGGAGTTATACTACTCCTATCATGCTCATCCTTATCTCATACGAAAGATTAGAAGATTTATTACAACTCTCGTATAGACACTAAGTCCTAATTCCATCAACTACCTTGTTAAAAAAATTAAAAACCGCAACATCTATGACCAATGCTGACAACTTAACCCCTGTTCACTAAATCAGCCATATCTAGAGTTCTAGACCTCTGTTTTGAGTGATTCTAGTGCCATTGGAAAGCTAACATCCAAGGCTACAACTTTCATGAAGACCCTAAGACCAAATTCGGTCATCTAGTCCCAGAACTTCCTCGCTCAATTCAGCGCTCCAGATTAAACGTTCTACCTTCCCATGGCTTCCCACATGTTTTTCACCCAAAATCTATCAAAACTTACAACCCGAAAGGACCCAACACCTACACTTACAAGAAAACAGTCATACCATTAACATGCAACTCAGAAAACATGATAAACCCTACATGCAACAAGAATCTGACTCAATCCATCACATTCTTCAAACAACTCAAAACCCCTCTTTTTAACTCCACACACACCAATTTAATCAACATGCAACCAGCAATTTTGCTGCAACAGTACAACCTTTTGCCCCAAAATCAACAAATTTCTAGCTTTCCTTACCTTAGAACGGAGCGAACGACGAACTCCAAGCTACTTCGAGGGTGATATAGAAGAAGAGAAGGGAGAAGAAGTGTCCGCACGACTCCAGGGTTGAAGAAGAAGAAGAAGAAAAGAAATGAAATTGCTCCGGAGAGGAAGATTAATTTTGCTGCTCTTCTTGATTCCCAACAACTCCACCTTCTAAAACAAACCCTAACACCCACATTTTAGCCAAGAAAGGTAATGAGAAGAGAATAATGGAATGAAGGGGAAAATGAGAGAGAGAGACTTGCGGGAAGGGTCTCACAGTAACAGTTAGATTTACAAAATTTACATTTAATATAAAGTGATATAAACTTTCAATCTAAGGTTGGATTTACAAAATTCACATTTAATATAAAGTTATTAAGCGGTATAATACTTAGTAAAAACTACACAGGTGTAATTATAACCCTCCTATATATATATATATCAAATCTGTAAATTTTTAAAAATTTAAAAAATTATTTGATACTTTGTTTCATTAATTCAAATTGACGGATAATTATAAAAGTATTTTATATGGATCTCTCCTCGCTATATATATATATATATATACATATATATATATAATTAAGAACAATTTAATTTATAAATCAAGCTTGTAAATTTTTGAAAAATTTACAAGTTATTTGATATTCTATTTTATTCAAATCAACATATAAAATATATTTATGATCGGTCGACAATTCGAATTAATGAAATAATGTATTAAACAATTTTTAAATTTGTAAAAATTTGTATATTTGATTTATACATTACGAACTTTTAATTTAACAATTATATTATTAAAATTTGATGTAGAACATGAGTTATTGAGTGAAATAAATTTAAATATTCTTGGAATAA